TGAAACCAAGTAGCCGACCTCCATTAACACCTGATATGTCTCCTATGGTTAAAATAGAAGATGTATCATTCAAATCATTTTCTAACTATGATGCTGACACGACTGATAATGGCAGCCCATCCGCTCATCTTAAACCTAGCCTATTACCTTCATCTTCGTTAATGCTGTCGCCCACTATTACTGAGGACGACAACACCGCTGAAAAATCTGCGAAACGTAGTCGAAAACTTAAAGAACTTGTTTCTGTAAGACGTAGTAACAGGTTAGCTTCTAAAGCCGAAGAAGAAAGGAAATATAGTGAGGATGATGACCTTAACGAAAGGATCAACAGAACTAGTATCAAAAGATCTAAACTGGAAACAGAAGAGCTTCATGATAATTTAAAAGTCGATTCTGGTAAGCAGAGGAGCGATAGCGAAGACGAAGATTTAATTTGTGATGTATGTGATCAGCCGTCAAATTCGCGGGATATTTTTACATGTAATGATTGTGATAATTGTTACCATGCTGAATGTCTACTTGTTCGACCGAATTTAAAACCTGATCAAGAAACCGAATGGTATTGCTCTAAATGTCTAATTGGAACGGGTGATTTTGGATTCGAAGAAGGTGAAACATATACTCTCAGTGAATTTGAGGATATCGCTGATGACTTCCGTGAAAAATATTTAGCGGAAAAAATGAACATTAAAGAAGATGACCTTCAAAATGACTTGGAAATGGAGAACTCAATCGAAGCTGAATTTTGGCGGCTAATGACAAGCTTGAATGAGCCTGTTACCGTAGATTATGGTGCTGATATACATTCACATGAATTTGGTTCGGGGTTTCCACATGTTGCTCACGACCCTTATAATAGATATGCTAAAGACCCGTGGAACTTGAATGTTTTACCCTTGACAAAGAAATCTTTGTTCAGACATATTCAAACTGATATTTCTGGAATGACTGTTCCATGGATTTATATTGGAATGATGTTTTCAACATTCTGTTGGCACAGTGAAGATCACTATACATATTCCATAAATTATCAGCATTGGGGTGATACAAAAACTTGGTATGGTATACCAGGCGCAGACACTGAAAAGTTTGAGCGGGTTGTTAAAGAAGTAGCTCCTGAGTTATTAAAAAAGCAGCCTGATCTTTTGTATCAGCTCGTGACAATGTTTTCACCCCAGCTTTTGAAACAGAAAGGGGTTAACTGTTTTGCCGTGGATCAAAGGCCTGGCCAGTTTGTGGTGACATTTCCCAAGGCATACCATGCTGGTTTTAACCATGGTTTTAATTTTAACGAGGCTGTTAATTTTGCACCTAAGGATTGGCTAAAATATGGGAAAGAAGCGGTAGAGACTTACAAAAAATTTAAAAAACCACCTGTTTTTAGTCATGATCAACTTGTCATTAAGACAGCTTTAAATGATACCTCTAAGGAAAGTGCAAAATGGCTACTACCCATTTTAGAGGACATGGTTACGCATGAACTTAGCCTCCGTGAAACATTTGTTGCATCACATCATTCTGTGACTACGAGAGTTATCAATCATGAAACTGTTGATGAAGAAACTCAATGCAAAGAATGCAACTCTTTTAATTACTTATCTCACATCATAGTTAATGAAAACAATAAAAAGCTTTCTGCTATTTATTGTCTAGAACATTGTCCCCCCTTGGATGTCAAGTACTTGGTACTGCGAATTTATTTTAGCGACATAAGTTTGCGTGAACTATGTCAACTGGTTAAAGATCGGATATAATATATAGTGAAATATACTGTATGCTTATTTTCGATTTTAGAACTACCTCAAACTGATGAATTTTACTTGCTTACTTTACGATCTCGAGCGCAAAAACAAAACAATCAGCAAAACATGAAGGGAGGAGGCTCTAAAATAAATTAAAGTTCTGTTGAACAATTAAAGTTAGCTCTGGTTTGAACAGCTAATCTACAGATTTATAAGCGTTAGTCAAGTATGACATTTTTGTGTGCTAGGGTTTGATAATGTACCTAAAGACCTTTGTTTTCTTTTCTTGTACTGGTTTGACTTATATTGTGTCAAAAGAAAGAATTATCTTCAACAAGCCATTTTTTGAAAAGCATACGAATATTTTTTTGAATTAACAAAAGAATGATAGATCAAGAATTTCCCTTTTTGAAACCATCAGGTTGAAAAAAAAAGAATGTTGTTTTTCTAAGGCTATGAAATCTCTGTAAAATAACCATTTGCAGACAAACTAGATAACAGTAACAGCAAAGAGATGTAGCTGAAATTTATAAATCAGCAATAAGTAATTTATTTATTATTGGGCCCGGGAAAACTTCAGGTATGAATACACCACTTAAACACAAAAAGCTCAACGTGTCTCGGTGCCATTTCAAATGCCGCACGATATGCCCCCATTGAGCTGTGGGTGATAGGCCCCCCATTAGGCCCTTGGCGATAAGGGAGATAACCCTTTGTTTTTAAGAAGACTTCAGCACTCTGTTAACTTGTACAATGAGCCTAGATTCTGTTCGAGTCTAACTTTCTACTTTAAAACCAGATCATCATTACCCATATGAACCGCCAAATTAGACATAAATATTGCATTATAGGTATTTAAATGATAAAACTTGAGGTACCACATTTACCCAAAAGGATATCACAGTCCAGACTGGGAAAAGTGAATGAAAACGAGAGTTATAGCCTCACACAAAAATGAAACCAGAAAAGATATATTGATCAGTACCGTTTAGAATGTCTATAGTTAACCAAGAATCTAATGAAGCTTTGCCCCTGAGTGTAGTCAAAGATGTACATCCTAGTAAAGAGACTGCTCTTGAAAAATCTACTGCTGTGGTGAAACCTAAGAAGAGGAAACCCCGTGCTGCTCGAGTGCAGGTCGATCCAGATACTATCACTGACAAGACGGCAGCTCAAACGGGCACAATTTATAATATATGGTACAACAAATGGAGTGGAGGAGACAAAGAAGATGGATCAGCTAATCAACAGAAGGCTGATGGCCGGTGTTTAATTGCTCGTGATTCTGGCTATACTAAGGCTGATTCTGTAGCCAACAGTTACTTTTGCCTTCATTTTGCCCGAGGATTGTGCCACCAAGGTAAGAAATGCGAATATTTACATCGACTGCCTGAAGATTTTGATAGCTATCCTGAAACAGTCGACTGCTTTGGCCGGGCAAAATTCAATGATTATAGAGACGATATGGGCGGTGTTGGAAGTTTCAAAAGACAGAATAGAACCATTTACGTCGGTAGAATAAATTTAAATGATAATCTCGAAGAAGTGGTTGCTAGACATTTTAGCGAATGGGGTGACATTGAAAGAATCAGAGTTTTAAATCAAAAAGGTGTTGCATTCGTTACGTATAAGAATCTAGCTAATGCCGAATTTGCTAGAGAGGCGATGGCACATCAAAGTCTGGACAATGATGAAGTTTTGAATGTGAGATGGGCTACTGAAGATCCCAATCCAGCTGCCAGAGCTCGAGAAAAGAGGCGAATGGAAGAACATGCCATCGAGGTTGTAAAGGGTTTATTACCCAAATCTCTAGTTGCCGAGTTAGAAGCCAGTAAAAATGGTAATAAAAGACGAAAGCAGTTAACAGCCGAAGGAGAAAAATTATATGGACTAAAGAATTTTGAGTTGCCGGAGGGGTTGATGCTTGAAAATGGCGGTGATGAACCCACCTCAATTAATTCGAGTGAAAAACGGGATGCCGATAATAGTAGTAGCGCTACGAATAACGATATTGACGGAATTAATTCTGCAAAAGAATCACAGCAGGAAGTTTCTCTCCTTGGTAATAATGCTCTTCAAGCTCTCATGCAGCTGAAAAACACTAATAAGAAAACTACTGTTCTTATGGCCAGCAAAACCCCTATCGTGGTGGCAAAGCCTGTTGGTTTGAGTTCTTTAGTTGCATCGTATGATAGCGATAGCGAAAACGAAGATTAGATCTACGTTTTTCCACAAAAATTTGTATTTATTACTCTGTACCATAGACGCATCTGCAATTGTAACGTTTCCTTTGCCTTTTTTAATGAAGGTCCTTTCTTTCTTGCTCTCAGAAAGCTAATGACAAAACGTCACGCTAGACTCCGGAGTTATTATATCGTCTCCCCAGGTTATTTCTCGTATTCATACATAAAAATATTTCATCACTTGCAACCAAAATTACTAACTGCGTAGAGTGTTTTTACCATGAGAGTCACGGTGTTCTCCTCTTAAATTTTGATTCATTATTTGTAATAAGTATTATACTTATCTTCTTGCTTTTCTGCCTGAAAAGAGCCAATATAGAAACTCTATTCCTTCTACACGTGAAATCTATATGAAACTGCAAATACGATAATGGTCGGGAGACCAAAAGAAGAACATAATTGTAAAAACTTGATAATCAACCTATGATTTTTACTCCTATGGGGTGATTGTACATATTGTAAATATGGAATTATATTATGACTTTGTTTCTAATCACTTTCTAATATTTATTGATACCTTTTACTTCAAGCCTCGAAGATCTCATTCGAAAACTCGCTACTAAAAATCAAGATCGGCACTATGAACTGCTAACCCAGCATAATTGCCTAGGTTTCACCACAGACCGACATGTCAGCCTTCCCCCGTTAAAGGCATTATTTTAGCTTCTCAGCCCAGCTTCTTACATGACCTCACACCCTCATACACAAAGCATGACTTATTTCCTTGCTTAGTATCCCAAGCAATATTTTATAATAGCTTTAAATATTAGAAATGCTATCAAAGAATGGCCCGATTAATTTTCCAGTTGGATAATGAATCTGGAGTGTGTGGTTGAAAAAAATAATGAAATATTAAAAAACAAATTCCAAAGAAGTATTAACTCAATGAATGAAGGCTTTCAAAGAATAGGCCCGATGGTTTAGTGGTATAATTCTCGCTTAGGGTTCTTCAATCTTGAATGCGAGAGGTCCCGGGTTCAATTCCCGGTTGGGCCCTATCTTTCATTAAATTTTTGATCGCTTGCCCAGTTGGTTAAGGCATCGTGCTAATATCGCAGGGATCAGCGATTCGACTCCGCTAAAGATCATTATAGCCTAGCTTGCTTAATCGGTAGAGCGTATGACTCTTAAAAACCTCGTATCTGAGGATTAAAGTCATCACAAGTTTAGGGTTCGACCTCCCCGTTGGGCTTTTTTGGCCTCATGAATTCTCTCATGCTCGCTGGCTTGTCTTATGTGTCTTAGGTATATTTTTAAATGGAGTAGTAAGTAGAACATCTCTCTAGTTTCAATAACGATTTTTTTTGATATAAGAGTGCTTTGGCTATTCTAAAAAGAATTTTTTTACTGGGTTTCTAGCGAATTGCGCGAACCTAGATATTGAATTTACTGCTTCTGTGGTTTAGTGAAACCTATTTCCTCAAGTCCATTTATAACGAAGAATACATAGAATGATACTGTTGAAAATACGTTTTTTATGTCTGCGGCCATATCCACTGGAAATCACGATTTCCCGTCCGATCAATCATAGTTAAGCCAGTGAGAGCCTTCATAAGTACTACGGTGGGAGACCACGTGGGAACATAAGGTGCTGCAGTCTTTTTTTCTTTTTACAACAGCTCTTTTTGGATTAAATGCACATGCAATTGTGTAAAGGGCAATTAAGAAGTAATCTAAAATTCTTGCTGGTTGGTTGTGCTTTGAATTTCGAGAGAATACCTAGCTAGTAAACACTAAAAACCTAGTGTTTTCATTAATGAAAAAAAAAGACTAAACCACCCTAAAATTTACCAGATAACTAAGTAATTTAAGTCTTGTCAATGAAACAAGGGAATATAACAGGTTTTATATATTTATCTCTTTACTGCTCTGACTGACCGGATAAAAAAAAGGTAGATGATAAATCAGTGTGTATTATTCCAACTGTAATCTATGTATTGAACTTGATGGATGCTCTCAGCAGGATCAACTATATGTCCATATCTAATCTCTGAAATCACGATATATATCAAGTGGAGCTATTACGCGATAAGCAACGCCATATTCAGGGGTTGCTTGCTTTGACCTCACAGAATCCTCGCATCAAAATTGAAATTACTGACGAAAGTACAAGGCAAAGGTGGCTTGGGGGCCCTTGGTATATGTCCCTTTCCCGAAAGTCCGTGCGACCGTTCGTTTCCAGCCAGTCAACCACCCAAGACATACAGCCGCGTCTGATAATATTCGGCAAACATATCGATTAACTAGCAAATACACTGCCCACTATATTCTTGCTTTTTCTTAAATAAAAGAAATAACCACTGGCTTTAAATCAAATGGAAATTTCTATAAATATAAAATATCTTTTAATTACTAATCTTGAATTATCTGCCATACTCGTGTAATACTCTCTATGCGGTACTTTTCACTTGGAAAATGGCGTCTAAAGCGTCCGGAGCCGTCGTCAGCCTTGACAAATTCACTTTTATTCTTCACTCTTATCGCCGTTCTATCGGTAATCCTTTTCTCTAGTCAACGCTTGCAAGGGAAAAAATCGCTATACTCGATAGCTAGTGAGAATTCCCAGGCGCCATTGGTTTTGAAGAATGTGCTTTCAATCAATTATACGCAGCAAGATTTTACAGCCTGCGAGCACGTTAATAAAATAAAGCATCGCAAAGACAAGTGTCAGTTTGTTATGGAACACTGTGAAAGCGAGCAGGTTGGATATTTTAACTATTTAAAGTCTTACTACTGTTCTGGTACTTCGGGGGAATCTTCTTCTACTGCATTTGGCCGCCTTATCTACCTGGTTTGGACCATCGTTTGGCTAATCACACTTTTTATGACCATTGGCATATCGGCTTCTGATTTCCTTTGCGTTAATCTTAATGTTTTATCTTCAATCCTTGGGCTTTCCGAGTCTCTTGCCGGTGTAACGTTATTGGCTTTGGGTAACGGTTCCCCTGATCTTTTTTCTACTTACGCCTCTATGAAAATTGGAAGTGGATCACTGGCTATTGGTGAGCTTTTTGGCGCCGCATCTTTCATTATTGCCATCGTGACAGGTAGTATGGCAATTGTAAGGCCATTTTCGGTTTCTCGTAAATCGTTCTTGAGAGATATAATCTTTTTTACGCTAGCCGCATCTTTTTCATTGTATATTTTGAGCGATGGAAAACTGAAAATTTGGGAGTGCATAGTAATGCTGATTCTCTACTTTAGTTATGTTCTTTATGTTGTTTGGTGGTATTGGATGCAGACTAGGAGGAGACAGAAGCTTTTGACCGAGGCAAGAGCTCGTGATTTATATACCGAACCTGGATTTGAACAAGTAATAGAGGCTAACGATGAACTCTTACTTATGAACCCACTGTTAGAAAGAGGCGTTGATCTTGATGGATTAAAAAATTTGACTATAGATGAGGAAAATTATAATTTCCCACTCCTGAATCAAGAGGAGACCGAGGCCAGTCAAGCTGAGGGATATGAAGAGCTTACTAGTATTATGCACTTGAGAAGGCCAGGCGAAACTACTACAGGAAATCGCTCTCGTTTTAATTCTTTAAGCGATATAAACTCCCCTTTGTCTGGTAGTCACAAATCTACTATAAGACCATCTTTGTTTTCTGCACTGGAGTTCCGCTCTGTGCTGGCAAACTTATCGTCTGAATCATCAGTCCTTCCACCATCGACAAGCAGCATACCGCTCTATGGAAATAGCCGGAATTCAACTCGAGTAGACAATTCAAGTGGGTATTTGAGTGTTAATGAGGGCTTATTAAGAAGTGTAAGTCATGAAAACGTGCCTTACAGGACTAGACTGAATTCACCAAGTCATGAAGTTAACTTGGATAGACCTCATTCTACAGTTTACCTGTATCATGAAGATTCGGAAAGTGAAACCTCTAATCCACAGCAGTCCCCTGTTGTCATTCCACCATCTTCATTGAACGAATTAATTACCCCTCTTCCAATAAAATCGTTCGATAAGAATCTAATTTTCAATGACAAAAAACTCGATAATATAACAGCTAAGGAAAATACCAGGGTATTACCAACTTTGAAAATTGATACTATCACACCGCCTAGCGAATCCACCTCACAAGGTACTGATATTTTCTCGAACACATTACAGTATGATGAATATCTTTCTCCTGCTAATGCGTATAGAGTAAGAAGCATGTCACCTAATATGGGGGAGCCTCCGAACTTAATCCCAATCAGATCTCCTTCACCATGCAGATCAGAAGTGCTACCAAATAGACGATTTAACACGATATGGAATAGAATGATTCCAAAATTTGAAAAATCTAATAAATTTCAAGAATTTGCTTGTACACTAATACCAACATTATCAGGTTTTTGGTCTAAAGTTTGGTATCAAAAAATACTTAGCATTCTTGCGTCGCCTGCTGTACTACTCCTAACAATATCAGTTCCTGTTGTAATAACAAACAGTTTGGATAACGACGATCTTAATCAAGTTTGTTTAGTAGATAGCGATGATGAGGCTTTTGGTACATTTACTGATGAAACGACTTATTCAAATCCCGTTGTAGCTAAGTCCAAACCCTGGTCTAAAGAAATCCTTCTTATTCAGGCAGTAGTAGCACCGTTACTGGTTACTTTTTTCACATACTTTGATGACCTGCACTTGTGTAGGTTTCTTTTCATTTCACTATTTTTCTCACTGGTTTTTTTTTACTACGTATACAACTATATTCCGCCAGGATTTGACCCTTCCAAGTACAGGTATCTTTCAGTTTTAGGATTTCTTATCTCAATTGCATGGATTTCTACTATTGCAAATGAAGTAGTCGGAATCTTAAAGTTTTTCGGTATAATTTTCGGTGTATCTGATGCCATTTTGGGCCTTACTATTTTTGCTATTGGGAACTCACTTGGAGATTTGGTAGCGAATGTAACTGTAGCATCTATGGGGTTCCCAATGATGGCTTTGAGTGCCTGTTTTGGTGGACCATTATTAAATATTTTAGTAGGTATTGGTGTGTCTGCGCTGACGGTATTAATGAAAGACGGTGGTAAAACACCTTTTACGGATGGCGGTGTTTATACAATTGACTTTTCACCCACACTCCTGATTTCAGGTATGACACTACTAGGCTCTCTGCTTATTTTATTTGTTTTTGTGCCTATTAATAATTGGAAAATGACCCGAGAGATTGGCATTTCTACAATACTATTATGGGCTATAGCCACAACGGGTAATGTTATTTTTGAAGTTAGGTCAACGTAATAATTATTTCTCTATATATCTGTGTATTATATGTAAAAATTGATTTTCTATTTTTTTACTATCATTTCGTTTCTATATGATGTCTATCACTAGTGCTACTAATGATAGAAACCCTTCCAGTCGTAACCACCACCGGTATAACCAATAAGATTAGTAGTGTTTACAGGCAACCCGAACAAAGCGTCTCTGGTAGCAAATTTTTTCAGCCTTGATTTAACCTCAACAGGCTTCATTATTTGGTCACTACCAAACTCACTATGGGCGCTTGGTGACAAGCTCAAAAGATAAGCTATAAGTCCCGCGATAGCTGGCGCACTACAACTAGTCCCACTACCTGACGCAGTAGAATAAGGCCCACTATTATAAGCCGAAGGGATATATAACCCTGGAGCAAATATATCAACACAACCCCCATGATTAGAAAACGGAGCTATCATGTCTTTGGCCGTCGTAGCCGCGACAGTGATTACATATGGAGATGAGGCTGGAGAATCGAAGCAGGCATCAGAATTACGATTTCCAGCAGCTACCACAATATTGATATCAAAATGTGAGCAGAGCTCTATCATATGATTAAGCGCCGGTGAAAACTTTCCTAAGCCTAGAGAAAGATTTATAATAGCGCCCTTGTACGACCCATCATTGTGTAAAGAATCATTTAGGTGCTGCTCTGTGGCCCATTCGATGCCGCTCATAATGTCGGAAACCACACCTGCCCCATACTGATCAAGAACTTTCACTGCTATAATGCTAGACATTTTAGCTATTCCATAAGTTTTACCACCAAAAATGCCCGCTACATGGGTGCCATGGCCATTTAAATCCTGCTCGCTATCGCGTTCATCCGGA